ATCGAGTAAATTCTAGTATAATCGAGTCATTTCTAGTATGATCTATTCAATTATAGTATAATCGATTCAAATTCTAATATGAACAATTCAATTCTGCGTATTCATTTTACCAAGAAACGTATTCATTTTATAAAGAAACATGTTCATTTTACCAAGACACTTATTCATTTTACAAAGTAACTTATTCAAAGGAACATGTTCATTTTACCAAGACACTTATTCATTTTACAAAGTAACATATTCATTTTACCAAATATAAATGAGTCAAACTAAGTATAATTGAGTCAAACTTAGCACAATCGAGTCAATTGTAGTATGATCGAGTCAATTCTAGTATAGTCGAGTCATTTCTAGTATGATATATTCAATTATAGTATAATCGATTCAAATTCTAATATGATCAATTCAATTCTAGTATGATCGATTCAAATTCTAGTATAGTCGAGTCAAATATAGTATAGTCGAGTCAAACTTAGTATAATCGAGTCAAATTCTAGTATAGTTGAGTCAAACTTAGTACAATCGAGTCAAATTCTAGTATAATCGAGTCAAATTCTAGTATAGTCGAGTCAAGCTTAGTATAATCGAGTCAAATTCTAGTATAGTCGAGTCAAATTTAGTATAATCGAGTCAAATTCTAGTATAGTCGAGTCAAACTTAGTATAATCGAGTCAAATTCTAGTATAATCGAGTCAAATTCTAGTATAGTCTAGTCAAAGTTTGTATAATCGAGTTAAATTCTAGTATACTCGAGTCAAACTTTGTATAATCGAGTCAAATTCTAGTATCGTCGAGTCAAACTTAGTATAATCGAGTTAAATTCTAGTATAGTCGAGTCAAACTTAGTATAATCGAGTCAAATTCTAGTATAATCGAGTCAAATTCTAGTATAGTCGAGTCAAACTTAGTATAATCGAGTCAAATTCTAGTATTGTCGAGTCGAACTTAGTATAATCGAGTCAAATTATAGTATAATCGATTCAAATTCTAATATGATCAATTCAATTCTATGTATTCATTTTACCAAGAAACGTATTCATTTTACAAAGGAAC